ACAAAAGTTCTAGCTTTTCATGGCCCTTTTTCCTAGATCTAGAAGTTAGCAGAATATTGAATTAACGTATTTTGTCATTCATTCATTTGTGCTTTCATTCATTCATTCAAAAAATGTTTATTGGATGACTCCTCTGTGCTTAGCACTGTACCAGGCAACGGGCACGCAGGGTACACTCTGTCCTCACGGAGCAGGTGAGTCGCACTTCCTTAGGACTCAGCTGCCTGGAAACCAACATAAGAAAGAACGACCCAAAGGCCAGGCAAAAGCAACAAATATTTATGCCCCCCCCCAAATAAATAAATAAATAGGGCGGCACTGTTGGCTTAAAGGAGTAGGGCACCAGCCCCATATACCAGAGGTGGTGGGTTCCAACTGGGCCCCGGGTCAAAAACTGCAACAACAAAACAACAGTTCACAGCTCCCCACTCTTAGTTTAATCGTTCCTTCCCCATTTGCAAAACAGTTTATTGAAGGCAGGAAAACTATTAGAGACAAGCACAGCAGAGATGACTGACAATCAGAAGCTCCGTGTTTAAGGAGGCTGTAATCATGAAAAAATAACTTGAGAAGGTGTTTATATATTATTTGTGCAAATAACTAAAAGAAAACAAACTAGAATCGGAAATGGCTGTAAGGAATTTGCCCAGTGGTTAAAACCATACTTGCCTCTGGAAGGTAAGCTGATGGGTGGTATTTTCTCTTCTTTACTCATTTTTTCTACTCTACAAATGTTTTGTATTCACTATGATTCACTATGTATTCATTCTAAAGAGTGAGTCAACACTACCTAAGTGAACCAATTTGAGGAGGAGGCAGAGGAACACAAACTCTATAGCTCAGCAACCCCCCTACACACACACACACACACAAAACCACTGACTTCAGGGTGTAAGTTATCAGCCCTTTGGCACGGCCTCTACTGATTTAAAGGTTAGCCATCCAAGCAGCGCTATTCAACCTTACTCTAGCCTAACACCAAAACAGGACCAAATGTGGTGATGCATTACAAAGAAACGAACAGAGAAATAAGCTAGCAGCGACTCGGGAGCAAAGTGTGGTTTATATATACAGTAGAATTGCTCTAGCAAAGCGTGTGCGCATGGTTCTCTAGAGTGGAAGTGAGAGTGTGTGAAAGAAAGGGTAACGTAGAAATTGTTTCCCCTTTTTGCTATCCATGGGTCATTTATATTTGCAAAGCTGCTAAGTGTAATTTAGTTCTTTGCTGCCCTCCTGAATGAGGAACACATTTGTGAAAAGCAAAGACTTCTTACATACCAAACCTGAAGCAAATAGCAAACAGCGCCAAATGGGGAGTGACTAGCGGCAGCTGAACATCGCCCTTGAGGCCACACTGTGACATCCACACCCTCACCTGTCGTACATTGTAATGAGAAGGCTGAGAGTGAGTTCGGAGGCTCTGGGATGCACCCGTCCTGGCTTGTCCTCCCTGGCTCTCTGAAACAGCTCTTGCAGTACCTGAAAAAGCTGCTGCACAGACAGCGAGTGCTCCCTGGCTTCCCGGAAATGTGGCCGCAGTAGGACATGCTGAATCAGGGAGCTGTCAATCAAGTCCACTGCAGGAAACGAATAAGGAATTAAGTCTGGTTTTCTGATGAGAGCAAAAGTCTTCAAATAAAGCAAATGCCACTTAGTGTTTAATTAAAGTTGTCCTTTTATGTTAGTTTTTTTTTTTTTTTTTTTAGGTAGAGTCTCACTTTGTTGCCCCCAGTAGAGTGCTGTAGCGTCACAGCTCACAGCAACCTCAAACTCCTGGGCTCAAGTGTTCCTCTTGCCTCAGCCTCCCAAGTAGCTGGGACCACAGGCACCTGCCCCCACGCTCAGCTAATTTTTCTTTTTAATAGAGATGGGATCTCACTCCTGCTCAGGCTAGTCTCAAACTCCTGAGCTCAAGCAATTCACCCACCTGGGCCTCCTAGAGTGCTAGGATTACAGGCGTGAGTCATTGTGCTTAGCCCTAGCTATTTTCTATAAAGGGAATTACACATGACCACTATTTGAACACCTATCTTTTGTGTATAATTCAGGCATTATTATTACTATTCTGACAGTCAATTTTATTTTGGAAAAGTGCATCTGTTAGTAAAGCCTGGTGACCATACAATTGCCAGTACAATTTCTAGGATCTGTTTTATAGAATGAAGTGAGAAACTCAAAAAATTTAGCCTTCCAAGGAACTTAGGAAACTATGGTGAAAGTTATAAAAATATTTTTATATTCTTTATTAAGTGGGTTGAGCAAATTTACCTTTCATGTTCAAATACAGTTTTTCCTGTCTGCAGACTAGCGTCAGAAGGAATGTGGTGTGTGTTAAAATGCAATTGCTATAATTAAAAAAGCATCTCTTTAGGTAGAACCTAAAGAGTCTGATACTTCAGCAAGTCAGTAATATCACTTTTTTTGATATTTGTTGTATTAGTACTATTATCTAGAGATGGCTTTTCATAAAACGAGAGTTGCTTACAAAAAATAATTGCTTATTTCTTATACTTTTTTTTTTTTTTTACCATATTCTCCTAAAAATTTTACAAGGCAATGAATAGAATTCAGAATGTCATAGAGCTAACCCCATAGTTTCTTGCAGAAAGAGGTTGGCAGACAAAATTAATAAACAGCCACTTGTACCATCTGAGAGGTGGGGATGTTGGAAGCACCCAGAGCTGCTGGCATTTACAATGCTTCAGCCTGTGAAATGATAAAACCCTGAGCTTCCCTCTGCTTCGTAAATCAACCTCACAGATAAGAAACCTAGAGACTATAATAAAATTTTTTATTTGTTTTCTGATATGCTTTTAAGGGGCGCATCTAAGGAACATAGGAGCATGTTTGGGGAATGTGACTTAAATAAAAATCTGGCTGCAGGTGGTGGAGCCTGTAAACTCTTTTATCGATAAAGCCTATCGCCTCGGCCTGGTATTCTGAACACAGGATGTTATTGTCTTCTGCTGAGAGTTCTATATTACAGTAAACCAGATAATAGCGGTGTCCATTAATCTCGCTGCAAGATTTATGAAGACTTATGCTGCGATGTGCTCCTGATCCTGCTACTTGGAGCTCTTGTTAAGCTTTATCTGTGTTTGGGACTTTACTGTTTTCAAATTTTTGTTTCGATATCTTTTCTAGGTAAACTTTTTCAACCACTGATTTTGTGTGTTGTTAAGATTTCCCACGAGTATTATTTATAGTCACTGTTTCGGATGCCAAGGATAACAGTAACTTTAAAAATACACATTTTCAAATCACACTATTGTCCATACCATGCAGGCTTTATTGGTGGAGACTTACATGAACAATTGCTGCTAACTTTCCCTAAGGAGAAATTCTCCAAGAAAAGAACATAATTGAGAGTAAATATTTAGTGAGTATATTTTGCCTTTTCTTTATTCCTAGGATAAAGATTTATTCCTAGTTACTAATGGTTATAAATGAGTTTATTTGTCTAGATCAATGACTTATTTATTTTCATTTTATTTATTTATTGATTTTTTTTTTTTTTGAGACAGAGTCTCACTATGTTGCCCTAGGTAGAGTGCTGTAGTATCACAGTTCACAGTAACCTCAAACTCTTGGGCTTAACTCTAGCATCAACCTCCCAAGTAATTGGGACTACAGGTGCCTGCTACAACATCTGGCTATTTTTTGTTGTTGTTGTCACTGTCACTGTTGTTTAGCAGGTACAGGCCAGGTTTGAACCTGCCAGTCCTGGTGTATGTGGCTGGCACCCTAACCACTGAGCCTGGGCACCGAGCCTCAGTCAGTAAATAAAACATTTTCTAAAACCCAAAAATTCCTTCTTCAGAGGAACCTGATACAGGAATACTGTATAGAAAATAGAGGAATGTAGCCTTGTTCCTGTTGAAGACATGGTCTTTGAATCTTCCCAGCTGGCCTGGCCTACGTCTCCTGTTCTCACTTTTGTTCACCCTTTTGTGCCCTACCTCACACCTGTGTATACTTTATAAAGCGTAATGTGAAAATCACAGGTCTATATAACACTATAGGCTTAAGGAAAAGAATTCAACCTTCAGTAGAAATGTCATATATATAACACAACTTCATTTAGGTCTGAGATTATATACTTCAGAAATCATTTCACATGAAATGATTTTTTTTAATGCAGCAAAGAAATTGAGAAAGATCAATACTGTTAGAGGTGCTGAAGACCTGATCTTTTTCATAGCTACAACCCAACTCTTCTTTTTGGAGAATTTTCACAGGATAAATGTTCTTACTCTATTTTACTTTATTTTACTTAGATAACAGTTGGAGAAAAGAAAATCAGAGCATTCAATCAGATACAAATTTAATGCAAACAAGTAGTTCTCAGGGAATTCTCAAGATTTTTTTCAAATTTATGGCCCATAGATTATTCATTTGAACCTACCTTCACATGTTCGGATATATTAATAAATCAGAGATACCACTTCAAAACGCAAAACTTATATAGTAGTAGGAATTTAAAATTTTTATATTTAAATCTACAAATATAGGTTCTAAACTACTCTTTTTTTGTTATTTTATTTTGTGTCAACATTGGTATCCTGAAAAGAAAACCAAATTTTTTTTTAGAAGCCAAGTGGAAAAAAATACAAAAAACTCCCCCCAAACAATAAAAACCTCATTCACAATTATTTTCTATGCCAGTTGGTGAAGAAGCTTCATGGGCATTGAACATCCTTCCCCCAACATCTTCTTGGTCACAAATGGGCTACATGCACAGTCCAGCCTTCCCAAGTCTGGCAGTCATGTGCATGGGGGAAGCTTTTGTTTTCCCTATGAATTTTGCATCACACCTCAGGGTCAGGTCATTTCAAGTGTTTCAAAAGAGCCTATACTTACATTGGCAGAGAGTTTGCACCGATCGTAATTTGAAGGCTGTTCTATAAATGGAATTCTCAATACTGTTAAGAGCATCTGTAAAGAAAACATGAAATGCATGGATGAAGGACTATCTCATTATATAAATAAATCCTGCATCCTGAAGGGAGTCCTAGAGACCATGTAGAGCTACTTTATGTTGGTGGTAAGGAAATTAAGTTCTAAAGCTCTCTTTATTTCTATCTGAGAACAAATAATAGATTTATAGTATTTCAGAGCCACAGGTAATCCTAGAGAACACTCTCCTCTAACTACGGCAAATGGAAGAGTCCATAGAAAAATAGGGAGTATTCCTCTGTCTAATTTTTTTTTTTTTTTAAGACAGAGCCTCAAGCTGTCACCCTGGGTAGAGTGCTGTGGCATCACAGCTTACAGCAACCTCCAACTTCTGGGCTCAAGCAAGTCTCCTGCCTCAGCCTCCCAAGTAGCTGGGATCACAGGTGCCTGCCACAACGCCTGGCTATTTTTTTTTTTTGGTTGCAGCTGTCATTGTTATTTGGCAGGCCTGGGCTGGATTTGAATCCGCCACCTTAGGTATATGTGGCTAGTGTCTTAGTCATTTGAACCACAGGCCCCAAGCCCCTCTGTCTAATTTTTATATAAAAAGGCAATGCCTTGTAAAACAAGATAAAAAACTATATGTAGAATATGAACTCAATTTTGTTAATTTTAGTTGTATGTGCTCCATATAAATTTAAACATTTATGAAAAAGACCCCAAAGCTATCCATCCACTCCTGCATTTAGCAAAGGTTTATTGAGGTCTTACTCTATGGCTCTGGCATGATTCCAGGGCCCTGAAGTATAGCAGTTAACTAAACAGATAAAGAACCTCACCTTTGTGGAGCTTACTTCTAGTGCCATCTGCGGTTAACAGTGGACATCTCTGAGTGCTTGGGTTATTTGTGATTATAGATAGTTTCTTTCTACTTGTCAATATTACCTAAGCTTTCAAAGAGTGTAATTCTATTTTTATAATCAGAAAAGAATTGTAGAGATACTTTTTTTGAGAGTTACTACCAGCAGTAGAACAATGGCTAGTATTTCTGAGCACCTGCCTGGCACAGAGTGTCAATTTGCCGGTTCCCCACTGTGAAGAAGAGGAGGGAGTTTGGGAGCTAGCCATCCCTATTTCTATTCCTTCCTTTTTCCTTTGGGGAAATTAGTTTACTTTTTGATATTCCACTCCTTCATCAGATACATAGGGACTATAATACATTACTCATAGAGTATTTGCATAATTTAAATGAGAAAATATAGGTAATGTACTTACTAAATATTGTCTCTCTTACTTCCCTTGAGGAACCACAATTTTAAATCTGTTTCATTGATCCTCCACATTTAATTTTTGTTTAGTTCAAGAGACATTCAACAATTTCCCAATAGTTTTTCATTGTCTCACAACAAAACTTCTTTCTTTTTTTTTTTTTTTCAAGGTAGAGTGCCGTGGCCTTAGCCTCTTGAGTAGCTAGGACTACTGGCACCTGCTATGATGCCGGCTAATTTTTTTGTTTTTAGAGAGATGGGGTCTCACTCTTTTTCAGGCTGGTCTCAAACTCCTAAGGATTGCTCAAACAATCCACCTGCCTTGGCCTCCCAGAATGCTAGGATTACAGGCATTAGCCACTACACCTGGCCAATAGAATCAGTCTTTATATCTAGAAAAAATAAAAACTGCAGAGTAGATATCCCCATTTATTCATACTGGCTTTAATATCATTAAATAAAGCTTTATAAGATGTTACACTTTTATTGTTTAGTTTATTTTAGGCACTTAAAACGGCTCCTTTTACCTGATTACTGTAGAAAGCAGTAGTCCTCACATTGTGGTTCCTGGACCAGCAGTGCCCTGGGAACTTGTTAGAACTATGCCTTGTAACAAAACTCCAACAAATTTCCAACTCTAGACTCTTTACTGGACCCTTGAGGTAAAGCTGATGCAAACTGAAGTTTGAAAACTGCTGGTATAAATGGAACTTATTGATTTTGGTTTTTATGATTAAGTTGACTATTGAAGGTCCTTGCAAGAGCAGGTGCAGTAGAGTCACAGGAGGTCAGAATCAAACTGCAGAGGATTGAGCAATGAATGTGAGATGAAGAGAAGACATAAAAAGAGACAACTTTTCAAGATCTTTAATCTGAAGGGAAGACAACAGGGCCACAGCTAGAACAATATAGACAATCAAAACTTGTTTTCAAGGGGAGAAGAAATTTCAGAGTCTATATATGGGTCAGGGAGGGGAGCCAGGAAAAAGGAAGAGGTTGAAGACTCAGGCAGTGGGATCCATAAGGTGTTTGATGTAGCAAAGTTCCTCTCAGTGGGTGCATGTTCCTTTGGTCACCCAATGCCAATTTTTCTTTCTTCTAGTGAATCACCTCCCTCTACCCTAACTCCATATAATTCTAGTGGTGTTAATTCCAACTCTCCCATTTTCAGGGGGGCATGTTGCCCAGCCTTTCAGTGAATGCATCACAGCACTCCTCAGAAATAGCACCACAATCAAAGTCAGGCAAGTGGCACACCAATGAAAATGGGTTTAAGGATTCTTTTATTGGGGAAGCAGACTTAATGGTTTTGTTGCTGGACTTGCCCTTGGAATAGGGGAAGATTAGTGCAATAGCCACTCTTATCAGGGTGTATGGCATGAGAATGAAACCAGTGCACAAAGGTGAGCAGAGATGAACTTGGCAATAGAGAGAAACCACTTCCCAGTGACAATGTCTGAGACCAGTGTGAGTGAGTGTTGTCTTGGGTTATTTAATGTAATTTGTTTTAATTGAAAAATAAAAATTACATATATTTCTTATGTACAACATGTTGCTTTGAAATATGAATACATTATGGAATGGATAAATCAAGCTAGATAAGATAACCTCATATATGTTGTACTTATCATTTTTTGTGGTGAGAATGCTTAAAAGCTACCCTCTTAGCAATTTTCAAAAATACAATACATTTTTATTACCATGCTATACAACAGATGTCTTGATTGGGTTATTAATTATATAAGGTAATCAAGCCTCTTTAGGCTAAGTTTTCTATCACAAGCAACTGAAATATTGCTCAATGATACAATCCCCACAGTAGAGACACCAAACAGAAAAAAGTGCACAGGTGAAGGAAATAGATAGGGTCAGAAGTCCATGCTTTATTTCTTGAGAGGAAGAATAAAAGGATACAAGGTGACTGTAAGGATATGGTCATGTTCAAAAGTTTCTGTTTTCTTCATAAAGTTTAGCAGCAGTACTCCACCTTTTTGGCACCAGGGACCAGTTTTATGGAAGACAATTTTTCAATGGGTTAAGGGGAGCTAGATTTGATAAGGTGGAGCTCAGGCAGTGATGCCAGCGATGGGAAGCAGCTGTAAATACAGATGAAGCTTCACTTGCCTGTTCACCATTCACTTCCTGTTAGGTGGTCCAGTTCGTAATAGGCCATGGATTGGTACTTATCTGTGGCTTGGGGGTTGGGGACTGCAGAAGTTGAGGACAAGTTCATCTACTTAGACTACGGAGAAGTTTGTGGGGTAGAAAAAAGTAAAGATTTGGCCAGCTCCAGTGGGAAGTGGAAACAGAAACCGATCACAACCTTTGGGAAGAACTGCTAACCAACTTTGCATCTGTGATATTTCCTGTGTTTAACAAATGCCAACTGCAAAGAATTTAGACCCAGAATGCTCATTCTAAAGCAAGGTTTTGACATACAAGCAAGCAAACGTTGAGACCAAGACTTAATTTGTATTTATTATGCTAAAGGGAATAAGCCTCAAAAAAAATAAAACTGATGAACAAAACTCAGGCAGTTTGGAGTGAACATGAATGTACTGGGGGAGTTTTATGACTTTTTCAGCCTTGGCTAAGCAGGCCCTAACAACACCAAACAAGAAAGTGCTCAGTGGATTTCCTTGATTCAAACATATGTGGCAGGCTAATTTGTGGCAATACTAATTTTTTCTTATTTGTGAAGCAGTGGGAGAATTTAAAGAATGGAAAGGCAATATTTTCTAGTCCATTCTGAGTGTGTTCTAAGGTCTAAGCTCTTTTTGCTCCTTTGGAAGATCTAACAGCTTCTTTGTGTTTAAGAGCCACCTTTGAAATCAACCCTACATAAAAAAAAAAAAAAAAAAAAGAAAAGAAAAGAAATTCTACTTAGGCCTTCATAGGAAAAGGGAGCCAGGCCCATCAAAAAATTAATCTGGGGTTGTCTTGAGAGGAAAGGATGGTGTCTGGAAACGATGCTGGGAAAGCCTTTACCAGCGGCCCCCTAAGTGGAGGGAATGACTGCAAGTCTTAGCCAGCGAGACCAGCCACAGGCTGGAACTTCTGGGTCCAGTCTTGACCTAGAGTCCCACGTCTTCAAGTAGGCCTCAAAACTAAAAAGAAAGAGCATAACAAGTGGTGGCCATGATTGCATCTCAGATCAGGGCCTTGACCAGATGTTCAGGGTAATAATTCTGAGGATTTCTGTCTGTCTCTAAGGGGATGATGGCTCCTTCTCAAACTTAACTTAATCTGAATGTTACACCAAAGTGCAGTGGCTTAATTTTGGTTTGGAAAATGATGATTCTTCTCCTTGAGTGTAGTGGGGTGAAGGATGCTGAGTGCCATGCATTGTGCTAAGCCACAGAGGGGCTGACCCAGGCCAGACCCATCCTAGAGGAGCAAGGGCACAGCACAGGCCTCCCCCTGAGCATACACTGACCCGAAATGAGTTGGAGGACACCCACCTCAGGTGAGTGACTAAAAATTGTCACCAAAACAAGAGATCTTGTTAAAAAAAACATTAGCTCTTTTTTCCTTCTTTTATCAGCAGGTGCAAACATTGTCAAAAAACCTATAATTTCCTCTGAATCTTTTGTTATGTGCTATCCTTATTGTTTAAAAAAAATGCTTAGTGTTCAGAGAAAACTCCAGTGTCATAAAATAGGAGAACTCAGAAGCACCTCTGTCTCTGCCCTGTGTCTAGAAAAGGAAAGCAAACTGACAGCAGGCATAATAGTGTGGAAATAATTAATGGAAATGTTATGCTCAGTCTTT